TAAAGTTCATTTTCTAACAAAGATTCCTGGTGATTTAAGACTCCCATGGTATTATATATGCTTGGTATTAGGTAATCTTCAGCAGTGGTGAAATGGGAGGTGAATGTGAAGTACTGAGTTCTCCTCTTACGTTTATATGTGAATTGGGAGTAATGCTCCCAACACCAGGCTCACGTGGATGTGTAATAATGAACCTGATCTACATGCAAGGACTGTATTTAAGATGTTATCTAGTGATTTTTCTTTCCTTGGGTCTCTTGCAACCTTCTTCTTGTAAAAGCAATTCCTCAGCCCTTACTCCCTTTAACTACAGTGCTGAACATAGCAGAGACTATGGTTGTGTTCCACCGAACATGCCACGTAATTTTTTTCATGTAGAAAGTGGATAGAAGTACCACATGCCAAGATTTATAGAAATGCACTACACAATTGCAGGAGGTGAATGATGAGGAAAAAATGGTGCCTATTGCTTCATCTTGCAGAAAAGCAAGAGAGATTTATGTGAGGGGAGGAAACGAAGCTCCTAAGGAAGAGAGTAAAATGGCCACGGGAGCCTTGAGGTATAGCTCCCTCCAACTGAGAGCTCTTCCCACCTTGTTTCAGGTTTTCTGTGTTCCTTGTTTTTCTGTTCTACAGCAGCCTTGACCGGTCTGTGATGTCGGCTGTTTGTACCCGAGATACACTAAGGCAGTAGTTCAACCTAGAAGGAGTTTGGGGCATAAGAGGACAGGCTGTTTTTTTCTCCATGAGAGGCTGCGGATACTCTTTCCTTATATCATGTTTTCCATGCTCCGTTTTGAGTGACAGCTTTGTGGAAAGTGCCTGTTTCTGCTTTTCAAGTCTGGGATTCAGGAGCCAGTATGTTAACTTCCCAGAGAAAGTCCTGGGAATACACAAGATGGCAACCTTATCCCATTGCACCCGCATGCGATATGTTGTCCTGTCCTAAGCACGGATTTTGTCATTCCAGTCCGTCTTGACCTTAGTAGGATAAGTTAGAGTCTGAGGATTGCTTTTTTAAGACCACTTCCCATTAATTCTGCATTACCTTGCTTTTCTGTGTTTAAATCTTAAAGCCGTACTTAAAGTACCAAAGAAGGTTTAGCCACACAATTGCCATTTGACATGGGAAATTGAATGGCTAAGCCCCTGCATATATGTAATAGCCTGTACACTGCTGGGAACTCAGTATAATTATTCTTTTTACATTAAGCAACCAATTGCTGATTTGTGTACATATGTAGGTTCATCCTTTACCAGTTTCCTGTGGCTGATAGTTTCCAGGAGATTAAAAGAATAGTTGGTTCCTGTTTTTTCTCTTCTCTTTATTTTTGTCCTTTAGCAAGAATATTTGTGTGTATGTGTGTGTGTTTAATAGCATTCATTCCCTAGAGAATAATCTCAGCCCTTGTTTTAGCTGGCCTCCTTCTGCGAGTGTGTTAAATCTGTAGCCAAGATCACAGGCAGCTCTGGGCAAATCATTGGGCTGTTATTAACCGGCCTCCATGGCAACTGCTGCTCACCAGCCTGAGGACAAAAAATGTTTTTATTCTGCTGAGTTGGACAAAAGGTTCTAGTGATGCCTTGCACAAAATGGCCATTGAAAGGGGAGATGCAGTGATGTGTGTTTGTGCTGTACAGTTTCATATTTAAATCATTTTACACTATTGTGTTGGAAGTGGATATACAGCTGAAGGCTTCAGTGTATTGGCCTTATGAAAAGTGAAAACCAGCAGAAAATTGGAACTAAACTTTTTTTAATACTACTTACTTTTGTTAGCTTTATAAATATTTAGTTTACAGGCTGTCAGCCTGCAGTTGTCATCAGTGTATTATCAAGTTATTTTGTAAAAATGAGTATATAATAAGCAGATATTGCCATGGGTTTTCAATTGTACTCTATGAAGATGCTTGCTGACTTGAGGTTATGGAGAGATGATAAAGTAGGCTTCCTAGAAAGCTTAAATATTTGGAAGAAATTCTCTGTTTTGTTTCAGTGCTAGTTTGGGAAGCTTGATAAGAACACCTTAGTGCCTGATGAACTTCTAATTTTATCTGTTTTTGAAAGCTGTTCCTGGCTGTACAGTGTTAGGCTTACTTTGGAAAAGATAAAATCAACTATATTGTTCAGGCTAGGCACGGACCCTATGGTCTTTGTAAAGAACGTTCATAGTATGATCTATTTTAACATCGAGATTTGGGGGTGAGTGAGGCTGTGTCTCACAATGCAGTTATCCTTGGCAGGAATCGCTGTGCAGAAGCTCTAGTGTCGATTTATGTGCGGAATGACTATGTGTATATGGGTCATGTCTCGTGGAGACATGCTGGTTTGGGATGCTTCACGTACTTGCAAGCCAGCAGCGTGCTAGTTCCCTATTTGCTGTTTGGAGTGCCTCTGTCCTGGTTACTCTTGACGCAAGGGCAAGTAGTTGCTGCGGTTCCACATTTGAGCATTTTTCTGTCTCATTCACAATAGTGAGATGTTAAAGAGCTCTTTGAGGGTGCCTTGGCCATGGTCTGCCCTGATACAGTGAAAAGCACTGAAAGATTTTTGTGCTTTTTTCACTGGTACACTGGTAGAGTGCTTAGGGAGGACACAGACAGTATAGCCATGAACATGGTTGCTGCTGTCAACAACTTGGAAGTGGGAAAGGGGTTGCAACTGGCAATTTGTGTACAAGGGTCTGTGGATTAATAACAGATATTGAGATCTCTTCGGATAAGTGACCTTGCAGATTCTCCCAGCCTAGAGTGGGCTGGAGTGGCCTGGAAAGTAGGCTCTGCGTTGTGGGATACCTGGAAATGGGTACCTAGTTGGGGGGATGTTAATCTGTAATCTGGGGTTTAAATAGATTTTCAGAGTTTCGTCAAGCAGACGGAAACTTGAAGCTTTTCTTCCAGACCAGGTTAGTCGCTAGGTTTTACTTCCAGCTGTTCTTACTTCCCATCTCTAATGGGATGCTTTTGTGAAGAAAACTTTGGATCAGTGAGATTAGGTGATCAGCCTGCACACCAACTGACCTGACATTTAGTTACTTTCTCCTTTAGATTCGAATAAGACTTGAAAGGCCATTGTGTGCTGGGCTGTGACCGTATGTATGTCAAGCGTGTTCTGTTTGATTAGATCATTGTCACGCGTTGATAATCCTTCAGTGTTAATCCTGTGCCAGGTACAAGACTTTCTTGGGTTAACTCTTAGAGATTTTAGCCTGATCCAGCAGCAGAGGCAGAGGTGCGCAGCCTAGCCTGGCCTCTGACGTGACTTGTGGGCTGCACTCGGGCGAATTCCCCAAACTGCCACAACTGAGGATTGCTCTGCCAGGTGTGCCACCTTAGCGTAACTCTGGACCTCTGTGATAAGATGTGTGCCAGAGATGACTTCCTCCAAGAGCACTCATTTGTATTTTTTTGCCGTGCTGTGTCCCTCATGTACCAAGCTGCAGTATTTATTCATTCTGCAGTATTTTTGTCAAGAAGATAGTTCTTACCGAGTGGATTCCAGCTGTGGGCTTGACTATAAAAGCTTCCCAGGCTTGTTTCCATACAATTAAATCTTGTGTGTAGTTAGTGAAGTGGTGTTTCATAAGTCATTTCAGTGGTGATAGCTGTTTAAGCCTGACTGGGACACTTGCTAGTGACTTTCTAAAATGAGAGTTTTACGTTTCTGAAATGGGAATGCTTTCAATTATTGTATGCATATTATCCCCCAGTGCTTGATGGAAGTGCCTGCTCTGTAACTCATTCATTAGTGGGAAAGTGAGGATGATAAAAATAAACTTGCCTCATTTGATGGATGGAGACTTGCTGGTCTTTGCTTGCAATTTCTGAGACAGGAAGTTATGATGTATGCACTCGCCAGCTGTCTCCATACGTTCAAATGGTTTATTCATTTAACACCTTCTATTAGAAGAAACAGACTGTTTCTGCTGTATTCTACGCTGGTAGTTCCATTAAGCAGTATCCTAATGGCTTATGTTTTGCCCGGTTGTATGAAATGTACATTAATGGAGGCAGCTTTATGCCATCACCCTGAAGTAATGAATTGGTATGGATTGCCACTACCATTATAACACCGTTAAAAGCTATGTTTGTTTCCGATTTACATTTCCCAGTTCTGCAAGCAGATGGATTTTCAGGCAGTGCAGCCAGTAGGAATCTGATAATTCAGTTGCAACTACCTTATTACAGTGTTTGTCAAGCAGCAGTTCTCGGGTTTTGTTTTGTTAACTCAGACTGCTTAAACAATACATTTCATTAAAACTATGATTATGCTACCACAGACTGTGTTCAGAGATCACTGTAAATCCATTATATCCTATAAAGCTGGAAATACATTGTGTGTGTAATACAGCTTCTCACTACTCTCATTAAAAATGTTCTCTTCGCTACTCTTTGGCCCCTGTTCAGTTTTTCTGTTGTTAAAATATCTTTATATATACTTACGATCTTACACCAATTTATACAGAAAGATACTTAGCAGCCATGGAAAAGCCCAGGGTAGTTGAGTTTTGCACATCTAAAAGTATTTCTCTTTCAACGAAAGTGCAAAGTATCTTGTATTTTTCCAAAAGGCTTAGTTGTCTTGAGTATTTCCTTCTCTGGCTTACTGAATGGCCCCGGTATACTTGGTGCTCGTATGGTTAATATGAGTAATTCTGCAATGCGGTGAGCTGAACATGAGCAGCTGAATCGCAATGGATCACTTTAGACAAGTGATTTTCTCTTTTTCCATTTCACAGGCTGTCTCATCGATCTCCTCTTGAGCCTGTAAAGACAGGAGCACTCAGTCCACTTTCTGGGTGTCGAGTTCACACCAACAGATCTGTAGGTCACTGCTTTAGAGTGATGCTTTCTTGCACCATCTATAGATTTCCACTTAGCGTGTCGATCTCTAGGCCTTTTGGGCCCCGCTGCTTTTACCACGTGAAGAATGAATATTCTTTTCCTCATAATTTGCTTTTTACTTACACGGTTTCTTTTGCTGTCTCCCTTCTGCCCAGGTTGCTTTGAATGTTGCATTAAGTGCCTGGGAGGGGTTCCGTATGCCTCGCTGGTGGCCACCATCCTCTGCTTCTCGGGGGTAGCGTTGTTCTGCGGCTGTGGCCACGTGGCGCTCACGGGAACTGTGTCCATCCTCGAACAGCACTTCTCCACAAATGCCAGTGACCATGCTTTGCTGAGTGAAGTGTAAGTAAGCCCCCATTTCCATTATTCGTAAAAGACAGTCATCAAAACGCCCTCGTACTAAATGAGTAGAGATGGATCCAAAGCTCAGGCTCCGGCTCTGGGTATTAGATTCTTTCTTTGTCTATGAACCGGTACTAGGTATTTTTCAGTGTGCACGCATGGAGAACCAGTGTATATTCTGCTTGACAGGATAATATTAATTACATCAATTCTAGGGGCTTCAGGAGTCCCCTAAAACATGTGCATTGTACCTACTGTTCCTGAGTTATACCCATCTTTCTTCAGGAATCAGAAGGCAAAGATACACCCAGAATGGGAAACTGCTTTATACAGGGCAGAATAAGATTCCACGTTTAAGTTAGGTTCTCAAATAAGTTAGATGGAAACTTGAGGTATCATAGTTCTTATTCACGTGGTGAACATTACTGTAGGGGAGCAATCCTGGCTCTATTTGGAATAAATAAAACTAGAATAAATAGTATTCACTGGGGACACAAAGTTTGGAGGGATGATAGGAGTAACGGGGAAGAGTTGTTCTTGCATCCCCTCTCGGGGGAAGATGGACTGCTGTTGCACAATCCACAGAAAAAGAAGAGAGAAAAGCTTGGAAAGAGATTAAAAGCTTGTCTTTACTACTGTCTTCAGGAATAAATACCAATGAAATACTAGTGGCTTTCATCTTCCCAAGGTTTCTCAGTGAAACCAGAGAAAGGCCTGTGAATGCAGGAGGAATGGAGGTGTTAGGGTACTCTGAGCAATAGGATTACTCTGAACAGAGCTTGCTGTCGGCGTCCAGCTCCCACGGAACGAACCTCTATTTCCCTTTAATGCTGAGCACCCTGTAGAGACAAGTGTCCAAATCAGTCCTTCACACGTGTGCCAGTCTTTCCCTCTAGTCTGGAGTGTTTCACATCCCCTTGAGCTGAACTTGCTAGGTGTGGAAAAGACTTTTGGTCACTGGCAGAAAGGAGTTTTACCTGAGTGGAGTTTCATGATGACAAGAGACCAGGACTGGGATACTCGCTGTTTCTGGGCTCAGCCTCTTGTCCTCTGCTCACCCCGAAACAGAAGGGGTTGCAGGTCCCACGCGCAGCTGTCCCCGCAGAGATGTTCTCACTCCTGCAGCAGGAGCAGGACATGCAGAAGGGAGCAGGACCGCGCCGACAGCCCCAGCGACTCTAGGAAGGGCTCCCTGTTCAGGTTGCATGCTTCTGCAAGGAGCAGGGGTCACCATGTCGCACATTTTTGTGCACTGCACACACTCACCTGTTGGCAATGGGCAAGATGCAAGTAAATTTGCTTATCTGCCCCTAAGTCCCCAGTTGTTAGGCCATGATTTGAGGATTTCGGCATCGGGATCTAACTCAACACAGTCTTTCTTTTATTGCTTCCCTTTTGCCAATGCCTCCCTCTTGGTGCTTGCACTGACATCGACCTGTCAGCTTGCACGCAGTGAGGTGAGCCTGAGACTTTCACAACTGCCTCCTTCCCACCCTTCTGCAGCACTGCCATCAGGACCCACAGTATGGTTTTGGGGCATCCTCCCCTTCCTCAGCCCCACGTACCCAGCACTGCCCAGAGCTAGCTTTTGACCTGCTGAGTGGCTCTGGTATTGCTGCCCATTGGGGGCCTCCTAGTGGTGCCCCCGATGCCCTGGCTGCAGCTGGACACCACATCCCTTGCTCTGTTGCACGAGCCACAGGGACACTGCAGTTAGTTAGCTTCAAAATTTAGCAAGCAACTGCAGTAGCTGTTCTTCAGCAGCTGACTATCAAAATACCTTGTGCTTGTATCAGGGTTCATTTATTCACTTGAGCAAAAAGAGAAGAAATTGCAGAAGCTGCCATAATAGAAAACATGTTTTGAATTTCGGAGAGTTGTTAACAACTGTTTCTTGTCCAGTCAGCATCAGCAGCTGGGAAAAGGATGTACTTCCTACTCTACGGTAGCCCAGCAAGAAAGGCAAGGGAGAAGAGGTGATATAGAAAGGGCCAAATAATTTAAGGCAAAAGTAAAATGAAAATAAAATAAATGAAAAATATGTGAGCAGACCATCATTTGTTTAACCACATTTCATATTACTCGTTTCTGGAAACATGCACAGAGTCCCTCCTAGACTGTTAATGACAGCAGAATGAATTCTTTTATTCTTTCTCAAATGATGACTTAATTTTTTCATGCTTTGCAGCACAGGTGCAACAGATTTAGCCTGCTTTTTTTAATTACTTTGGAAAATAAACATAACTGTTACTTCCTAAATATAATTTTAAATGAGCAATATCCTATTTTGATAGAAGGGGTCTGCTTATATGTCTGGATAACATTTAACTATATAAATGGTAGTCATCTTTTTTTTTTTTTTTTTTTTAATTAAGCTAAAACATGCAGATGGTCCTTGGAGATGTATATCCAGCCAGGCAGCTAATTAGGGGAGTGTGGTAAGAAATGAACAAACATTTGAGGGGAAAAAATGTATCATTAAAAACCTGGCAGTATAGATGACTAAAATTAATATCTTTCTCTGTTCTGTGAGTAGCTTCGTCCAAAACAAAATAAAAAAAACCCCCACAAACCTAGCAAACTAATTACTTTTTTAAAAAGAGTAAGTTTTTGAGAACTTTGTTTTAGAAGACCAGAATCCCAAATCTTCCATACCACATTTCTTCTGGTCTCCAAAAACCATACTTTGTTATTAGCACAATCAAGTTCAGATACTGAATCGGTAATTGGATTAATAATATTTAGTAATGATTCTTTCCATTTATCTGTTCTAGCCAGAATAAAACTACTGTAAGAGTCACTGCAGAAGATAGATTTCTAGGGAATCAAGAACCTTCTCAAATAATATCCAAGAGAAGTAATTATGCCAGTGATCTTATTTCCCTCTAACCCTTAAGTCCCAGAGTACCTCAAATGGAAAGATGATATCCTAAATATTTCTTTCAATGTAAAAAAATTTAATTACACTTTGGGGAGTTCAACACTGCTATGACTTAAGGCACCGAAAATATCTGTTTGCTTGGAAATACTCGAGACAGTAGAGCAAAATATTCTTCAAGAAAAGTAGTCCCAGCAACATCTGCTGGGTTTTGTATCCATTAAATGTCACTGAATTTACCAGTTTTTGCAAACATACATTAATTGGAAACGGTGAATATTGGAGACTACTTTGCTCTCTCTAGGGCAATTCAGGCAGTAGTTCTGCTCCAGCCTTTGCCATGTTCTCCCTATGTTGTACCTGCCAGACACTGTCCGAGTGAGGTGTCGGGATCAGTAACAGGGAAAGAAATATCTCCACAGTGGGGGCCTGAAATTGAGGCTTAAAGCTTGTGACTAATACCAGTCAGTGTAAGAACCGCAACACAAACCAGAGATGCTCGAGCAGACGCAAGACTAATGCACATCAGCATCGCTCAGCTGTAAAAGTGGGATAGTTGTACCAGCAGACTCTCCTGCAGCCCACTTGCTTAAAATGGATTAGAGTGCTTTGAACTGCCTTACTAGAAAATGAGTTATCTCATACCTATTGTGACTAGAGAAGACTGACTTTGTTTTAATGGGGCTGAGCTCTAATTACGTCTTTTTTTTCCTTTTCCATTTTAGAATACAGCTAATGCAGTATGTAATTTATGGCATTGCATCATTTTTCTTCTTATATGGAATAATCCTTTTGGCAGAAGGTTTTTACACAACAAGTGCTGTGAAGGAGCTGCATGGAGAGTTCAAAACGACAGCCTGCGGCCGCTGCATCAGTGGGATGGTGAGTAGCTTTAGAAATGGGAAGAGTGGTCTTGCCTTGCTAAAACCTGCTGCGCTCTTTGACCTCCCTGTTTTTGAACCACAGTGTATCACTGTCTACCCTCCTTAATTCTTTAAGGGTGGTCAGAGTCAATCCCTGTTGCTGGTCATTCTTTCAACTTCGAGGATGACTGGACAAATCTAACTGTGCACACTGACCGTCAGGCTGCTACCGTGGCCTCCCTTGTCATAGCTGAACCCACTGTTCTAAACCAAGCTGAGGGAGACTGCCGATTTTAAAATAGTCAGTGTGAGACAAAATTAAATTTGTGCATTTAAACATGGAGACCACTAACGATGCTTAAAGGTAGACTGTAATATACCTGTGGTGTGCAGACTTATTTAAATAACAAGCTGTAATGTCTCTGACTTCCATAGTCAGTTCTACTTGAGGATGTCTAGATCCTTCAAATATTAATGAATGAAGCTTCACAACATCTTTGCACTTGAATCAAGTATTGCTGTCCTGCTTTTGCAGATGGGACATCAAGGCATACAAATAAAATAATGAATCTTTTTCACTAAGCGGAAACACTTAAAGCCTTAAAGTTACAAGCCATCTTCCCTCCAGTATACTTTTGTATTAGAACAAAATTTTAAACAAAGTTTAACTAAAAATAAAACTTTAGATTCTCACCCACATTGCCCCCTAGGGCGTACTCAGCAAGAACAGAAACATAGCTGTGTCTCTGAGACAGGATTTCAAAGCTATTTCTGAAATCTGAATTCAAAGCTTGTAGTTATGGAGGAAGCTAAGCAGTATGACAGATCGCCCACGGGAAAGCGTGGGTGAGAAGAGAACAGGCTTTTGATGTGATTGTTGCATTTTAATATACAACTTATATCCTGTACTTAAAAAATATGTATTTTCAGCTGGCTAAATAAAAAGGCAATGCATGTTTGTTTCCAAGAGGGATAACAATTTTCCACCGTGCTGTTGGATACTTACTGAATTTTTCAAGAGCTAATAAAAATAAGACAAATGATCATTTTCAATTTAAGCAGCTATTCTACCACTCTTTTTTCTGGAAAGTATGATCTTCACTGAGGAACAAAATTATATCTAAAGACATCTTTTCCAAAGATCAGAAATACAGTAGAAACATACACATACGTGCATCTCATTAGTGCCGGTAATTGCTTGTGCAGCTGAGTGGTTGCAGACACATGATTGTCAGCCTGCTTATAGAAATACCAGTGTGACACATGGAAATATGCCACAAAACGTGCTTTCATGTTTTTGCATATTTGTCTGCACAATGAAGGAGAGAGTTTAGAAGTTGAGTAATGGCTTGGAGCTCTAGTAAGGCACGTCAGTGGTTAGTGGCAACCGTCATGGCCTCAAAATGCCTGTGTGCTGTTGACTAGTGGTAGAACTTCTGAAACTACCAGGGTTAGAACAAGGTTTGTGAGGAGAAGTAGTATCGTAACACACTAGTGGCTGCAGTTGGGGAAGACGACGAGCTTTTGGACACAGTGAGTTTCTGCTTATTTATCAAGACCTTGTCTACCTTTTCCTCAATTACATTACAGATCTAGGTGTTAAAAGCCCCTTCCATATTGCATGAGTTATTTCAAAAGATACAGACTTCTGACTTTCCTAAAGCATGGCCGTTGGCTGTGATAATGCAGAATAGCCATTTCCAACAGTTATCTGTAGTAAATGTGAGAGAGGTGGTGTTTTTTCCCTAGCTATCTTAGGAATCAAAGGTTTCATGTTCTTCTTCCCACGCACACTTTCACATAGGCATATACAAAACCTCATTTTACATAGAGTAGATCTGTAGGAATCCTTTAAACTGATCCACTTGGTCCTTACTGAACTCCAGTGAGAGAACTTCTGGGGTATGGCACTATCTAATAAAAAGTAGGTATTTCAGTTCATTTGTGTATAAATGCAAGACTGGCTGGATTTTTGTCTGGGTGCGTTATTTTTGCAAGCACCTCTAATCCACCCCCCCAAACACACATACACCCCATCTTATTTAACTATAAAATCTAACTCACTAATTGCTCAAATTTTCATGCGATGTTGCCAGTGTCATTTAGTCTGGATGAAATCCTAGGAAAATACAAACTTCCACCACCGCAAAATTTGTTCAGTCCTTCAGTTCTGCTGCCAGGCTGAGCGAATCCTGCCCTTCAGAACTGTCCCTGTCCTCACTATTCCTTTTTTGGCACGCAAGTTTTAAACAAGATGATTGTATATTATCAATGCCTATTCCAGCACTTCTCCAAAGCAGAAGTCCTAATAGAACCTACAGTTAAATAAGTAACACTGAAAAGGGAACATACAACATATAACAAACATTCCCTCACTCTGCGATTTGGATCCAAATCCTGGTCTCTGCGATTTGCTGGGTCTCACAAGGAGAAGGAAGCTAGGAATTAATGCCAGATCTCATGAGCTAATGTTTTACCGTAAAACTTAACAAGGAAGAAGAGGGAAAAGAGAGGATGTGCAGCGGGAGGGGGAAGTTGGAGATTTGCAAAGCAGTGAGTGTCAGACGTTATAATCTTAACCAAAGAAAATGCATATAATAACTGCTTTTAAAAAGATAACCAAAACCAGCAAATTTCTGTGGAAAAATCAATGATTCTCTAAGGTGAAGTAACTAATTTTCTCCTAGTCAATGTATACATATTGGATCAGTTCAAGCTTTCTGACTTGCTATAATGAACATGGTATGTCTTCAAAAATAGGAGTTCTCAAATGTTACCTTCAAAATTTATTTGCATAAATCAGGGAGTACAGGAGAGCTTTGTGGACATCCATTCCTCTCCTGTTTTGATTTGCAGACTGGTATAGAAATGCTAGTATGTTACAGTTAATGAAATCTCCTTCAATTGATTTTTGTTGGTGTTTTCGCCTACAACCGGACTTCCTAGTTAGCTGAGAATCTTGAGAAATTAATAACTTTCTCTTTCAGGAGGCCGAGTTGTTTACTTTAGCAGACTGATTAAAGAGGAATGCCTGAATTATTTTTTTTCCAGTGGCACTTACTTAGAGTACCAAAAATAAGTACTTGTGAGCAGTGAGGACACTGATTTTATTTGTGCATGGATATTAACGGTCGTATTACTTAATTTCCGAACATGCCTTTAGAGATCATTTTGATGCGTTTTTAAGGCAGATTCAAGTATTCCTTCCAGGGAATAAATGGGAAGTGCGTGTGTTTTCTCTGTGCAGTTTGTTTTCCTCACCTATGTGCTGGGAGTGGCCTGGCTCGGGGTCTTTGGCTTCTCTGCTGTGCCTGTCTTTATGTTCTATAACATATGGTCAACTTGCGAAGTCATCAAATCGCTTCAGACGAATATGACAGTTCCAGGGGACCAGATCTGCGTGGATATCAGGCAATACGGTACTTATTTTAATCCTGATAATGCCTTATCCTCTCTCCTTGGTCTAACTTCAGTAGGTTTGTTTCAGCCTTATCAGATGAACCAAATGCAAAAGCATCAAGTATCTCTGGATGTGCTATTACTTTTCTAATTAATTCAGATTACATTGATCTCCTTCCAGATGCAATCAATTTGAACTGGCAAGTCATTTATCTAAAATGATTTTTGTAGCAGTTTCTAGTACTATAATATTAGGTTTAAAAATAGATCAGCCTCAAAATAAACGGCCTAGAAACAGAGCTGAGAAACAGATAACCAGATTCTGTTCTTTGAACCCGCTTTTACATATTCTTTCTTTTCAAAAAGCTGTTTTAAATTTAAATTTGAAGTTAACATGGCTTTGCTGTAAGCAATCATTTTCAGTTAAAAACCCAAACACCTGCAGTCAAGAGTCTCTGCCTCAAATATTCATGAATTAATACTGCTTTCTAAATACATGTTGAACTCTGAAGGGAGAGGAAGTAGCAGAGGAGTGGGAAAATAACATAAAATATGGTCAAGCTTTTCGAAGGGTTCAGTCCTGAAGGTGAATTTTTCCTGAAGTTAATCCTTTCAGCTTCCCTTGTGCAGAAAAGCTTGTGCCTTAATTTTAGCTAGCATTTTCTAAGAATATTTCATTCTTTGGACTAATTCATTCAAAAACTGAGAAACTGATTCAGAGTTGAAAAAGGAAGAAAGTTTGTTTTTTTTTTTTTGCTTTCCTATCCAGGATTTATGTCCAGTACAAAAGGGGAAGATGATAGATACATTAATTTTGAAAACAAAACATCCCAAATCAGTTAAACAGCTGCACCCCAATTTAGCAGCTGACATGGAGAGGCTGGGAAGTGTGTGTATTCTTCAGTAGCAAAGCCTAGTAGTGTAGGGGGAACAAACATTCCTACTTCTTTCTGCCTCTCTTGTTTCTCAGCTCTACTCGTGCAACTTTTTATGGACCAGTGCTGTACAGCTGATTAATGAAATCATTTGGCTTTCAGTGAGTGATGGGAGGGAGAGAGCAGCTTCTTAACAGGCTAGTCGTGTCACAAAACTACCCTTGAGGTGCTGGCACTGATAACTCAATGCCTTCAAGTATTTTTATTTTGAACATGCAGAGGAGCTAACTTTAAAGTAAATCCTAAAACAATCTTTTTGAAAGCCATAGCTGAAATGACCTGTTTCTTACAGAGCTGCTAATGCCAACCAGCTGAGCTTGCACTGCAACTTATACTGGGGAGACAGTGTTGTTTTCCTGTTTCAAGGCATGACTTCTGCTTATGCTTTACGTCTGTTATAGGCCTATAAGTTTAGGTTATTTTAAACCTTCTAGATCCTGTCTAGTTTTGAAATTTTCAATCAGATAAGAAAAGCAATCAGGAGTACATGAGGTATAGCAGAACAAATGATCTCGTAGCAGTGTTCCCTTAATGCTTTTTTAACCTATTGGAACTAAAACAGAAAAAAAATCCTTTTGTAATTATTCCCTTTGGCTCCATATTCACAGTCCTCTACAGTAGCTGCTTGTTCAAGCAGAAGTTAAATCTAGTAAAGAATTGCATATTATGTGCTATCCTGAAAGGTGCCAAGTATCTCTGAGATGCGGATTATCCGTTTCAATTATGAGTGGGGGAGTAGTCAGTATGTGACTGGACCTGAAGCGTAAAAAACCAACCATTTGGCTGCCATATGGGAAAACCACATCTGAGAACATATCCTGGCAGCAAGCCTTGGTATAAGGAGAAGGCACAATTTGAGTGAGTTGTTTTAATTCCTCCTGCCAACTCAGAGCTGTACTGGTCAATGTGTGGATGCACAAAATGGGAACAGAACTGGCAAGTGGGTGGGAAAGAATAGAAAGGAACAGAAACTGTGCGTTGCTCTTAGAATCAGTGGTTTCTTTTACTCTAATATTTCAGGTATCATCCCTTGGAACGCTGTACCGGGCAGGGCGTGTGGTCCAATTTTAGAAAACATCTGCAACACGAATGAGGTACAGAAACATAACCTGTATGCAACTTTAGCCTCCAAGTTACATAGGCACAGAGTAAAAATAACTTAAAAGCTTTCAGAGAAAGCTTAGCATCTCTTCCTATTAATAGTATAAAGTAATTTATTTAAGTAGAATACTGAAATTATTCTCCCTCTCCTCATCCAAAAAAATGAAAATCATTTCTAAACATTTTTGGTTTTTAAAGCTTTGAACCCCTTGTTATGAAACCAGTTTTACTTTCCTTATTCTCTAAAATGTCTGAAATGTATTTTATACTCTCCCCAAATACTTTAACATTTTTAACATGTCTTTTCCCTAGTTCTACATGTCTTATCACCTGTTCATTGTGGCCTGTGCTGGAGCTGGTGCCACTGTCATAGCATTGGTGGGTAGCAATTTTGTTGTTTTTTTGGTGTAACATATTCCTTTCAGGTTTAAAATGTTTTAAAATCAAATTTTGTGTATCATCTTAAAAATGGTGATACTACAGATTAAGGAGGGCACGCTGTAGTTACCATTCCTAGCTGCTCTGGCATTGGCTGTGGTTTTCTTACCTTAGGACCTACAACATGGTCTAACTGAAAAAAAAAAAAAAAAATTCCTTTAAAACTGGGTAGGTTCCTCCAAACTTTCCACTTGTCTGACTCCTCTTTTTTGTAGCAATGCCCAGTTTTGGTCATTCCAAGTCAGAAGGTCTCAAACTTTTGCTTTAAGAAGTCATCTTAACCTACTTCCTCCATTCTTAGGGGGAAAAAAAAACCCAACTTTGTACCTCCTCTGAAAATCCTACATCTACAATTTTTTTTTCCAAACTATTTCTTTTCATTTTTGTAGTTTATAATTGATCAGTAGCTTGTAACTGCTTGTTCTTTTTGTCCGGACCCAGGCAATTTAACTAGTCCGGCTCTGCAATGCCAGAGAAAGACAGCAGTTGGAAAAAGGGACTGTAACAAGATGATTTGCTTCACATGTCTAACATTTACTCTAGCCACCAGCTTCTAACTTCTTGTCAACCAAATCCAGGTGTAATATTCACTATTCTTTGATGAAATAGCCTTAGGCCTGCCTGTAGTTTATACTGTATTGCATCTTTGTCCCAGAAGAAGCTCGGAATAAAAAGTCTGTTGTAGTTATCGAAAATTGCCTGAATGGGCTTGAGCCGTCACCTCTTTGTATCTTACTATCCTGTATTTTGTTCTCTTCCACCAGCTGATCTACATGATGGCTACTACATATAACTATGCTGTTTTGAAGTTTAAGAGTCGGGAAGATTGCTGCACTAAATTCTAAATTGTATAAGCCCAGTAAAGAGCTGCATTGCGTAGCTTCAAATACCACTGACACCCTAGGCTAAAAGTCTAGCTTTTTGAATTTTGTTACAGTAATTGTAAATAGCTTCAGTAAGCATCATTTAGCTTATGAGATTAATACAATGACTTCTTGTATATGAACTATGATGTGGATGAGATCTGGCTATTTGTTCCTGTTGAGAGGATTCAGTTACTGTAGGGGTGTTATAAATCATCCTTCTGAAGATGGGATATTTTCATTTAAAGTCTCCCATTATTTTCTAACAGTCCCCTCTGAAACAAATACTGGAACAGTTCAGGGTCAGAGTTACTACTATGTTCTTCATCCTCCTGAACACCAGCTACAAAAAGCTGTGAGCATATGGTATGAAAAGAGTAATCACGTAGTACCAATATCTTTTGGCAGAAACCAAAGCCCAGGTATTGTGAATTAGGCCTGTATTTTCAGGGTGTGGATGATAAAACTGATTTTTTTTTAAAATTTAATTTCCAAGTGATTGCCAAATCATGCTCTCTCTGGAAGAAAATATAACCTTGTACTAGCTCTGCGTAAAACAATCACAATCTTTCTTTTGGACCCCAAACTAATAAGAAACTGTGTTTAGATAACTACTGTTTTTTGTATGGTTTGCACTTTAGTAACTGATTTCTCAGTAGCCAGATCTCAAAAATTTAAGTATGATTACAGGGGAAGCAAAACCATGCATAGATCATAGTGACATTTTTACACTGTTGAAAAAGGAGAGGCGAATCAGTGTTTTCAGATGTAGATTTTTTTTTTTTTTGCATGAAGTACGCTAAAAAGAAGTTGGAAAGAAAGAGATGTATTCACTTCACAAACTAGGGAAAAAAAACCCAGAGAACAACAAAAAAAAATCAATTTCTATACATGGTATAAAACTTAAAGTTAGACAATGGGAGGTTAAAATGTAGTCAAAAAAAATACATTTTTAAGACTTCTTAACCCAGAGATTGCATGCTTTTGCTTAGTTTTGGACTCACATTTTGTTGCTTAATTTTTCAATGTTAATGTAGTTTTGTTCACGTAAATAAAACTTTACAATTTTAGTCTTTTTCCAAGGAGGGGAGAGGGGGCAGCATTCTCATCTGCTTGTTGAGGAAAAAAAGATTTACCAGAATCTGTGCCTGTATATACATAAACACCACAACCTTAGAAAGAAGTTCTTCTGAGCACCTTTTCATTTACAGATTATATAAATTGCCACGTATGAAACTTTTTTCCTGCTTTCCCCCCGTTCTGCATTTTAATTGATCAGTAAAACTCTTTAGCTCATTTAATTACTTATACTAACTTTCTCTAAATTTTAAGTAACCAACTTAAATATTAGCATGCAAAATTCTAGAGATCATTGAAAATAGCCTCTGTGCTTGTTTTAATAACAGAACGCTTATTAACGTAGAATAACTTTTTGGTTATTGTTTTGAAGAGCGTCTATTAATCTAACTAGCAGCTTGCTTTGCCTCTTGACATGCTCACTAGCCATCATGCTCACCCTTCTCTTCCAGATCCACTTCCTCATGATACTGTCCTCTAACTGGGCCTACTTAAAGGATGCAAGCAAAATGCAGGCCTACCAAGATATCAAAGCAAAAGAAGAGCAGGAGCTTCAGGATATCCAGTCTCGGTCAAAAGAGCAACTCAATTCTTACACATAAATGTTGTCACAGTAATTCAACAGAAGAATTCTGTAGCTCTGACAAATCAACAAATAGCTGCTCTGCAGTACAGATGTGTGTCTACCAAACAAAATAATCGGAAGTGTAAAAGCTTCAAAGTCAAGCTCCTGGAAACATGGTCACAGGGAAATCTTCCCGTGGGTAATCTTCCATCCCTTAACACAGAGAATGGAGGTTTTATTCCAGGCATTTTAAAAGGCAACACTTCACAAGTGACCAAATTATTCTTCTTTAAGACTTTTGGTATTTAATATTTGACGTGTACTACAGCATGAATTCCTGCACAAAAGTGGCAGGTGCTCCAAACCAGCAAGTAGTAGATCTTTGTACAGACCCTGGACGAAGGCACATGTACAATGTGTGATTTAGCATCTCAATTTATATACCAAATGAAACTGTGGCCTAGCTAAGATTTAATTGCTTGTGCTCATTTGACAGCACAGTTGCAGCATTTCCTTAGGTTAAGTTAAAACAGGGCAGTCTTTGAACACTCTTTAAATGGGCCACAGGATTAACCATCTACTTTTGTGCCACACTTTTTTTTATGAAGAAGCAGTCACTGTACTGTGCTTACATGAGTGTTGAACAGGTGTCCCAATTTTTAATCTTTTTATTAACTATTTAATGGAATGTAGATCCTTGGATCTGGATAATGATCTCCTTCTTTGAAAATAAATGTCAGCTTTGCCTTAATATTTATTTTCTATAAATGTCTTAGCATTTATATAGCAGCAGGAGACCATTATCCTACATTTTAAGTGAAAAGTGTTACCTTATTAAAATGACACCTATGGGACTACTCCAAATGAGCGGAGAGGTAATTTTGCAGAGTTTTACACAAACAGTTTAAAAAAAAAAAAAAAAAGTTACAGCCATAAAGCAGAATACAGGATGTCCACCTTTCTCTATCTTGGTGCTTAGCAAATTTATAGTCAGTGCTTATGTGTTTTCCTTTTTACAAATTAACTAGCACATTAAGAAAACGTGGTGTTCAGAAAAAAAAAAAAATGGTGCCATTTTAAAGTCATACCCCATAGAAGTCTGCCTTCTAACTACTGGGTTTTTTTTTCAGAAGCATTCAGTGATATCTTGAGTATTAGTGATGGTATACTTGGTGTTTGTTCTATATGATATATCTATAAATGTTGGGGGAAAAGTAAAATACATCAGTCATTTGAAAATTAAATATTCAAGTCATACCCATGTTAAGCTGACGTGTGGTTTGATAGTTTTGACTGTTTGCTGAATATAAATAAAAGGAAGCACAAGTTTCTTCAAGTCAGTATTAAATGAAAAGGCATTTTGGGGGGTTATTAACTTCAAATATAATTTTTTTGGTAAATATTGAAGTCTAATTTGACAGTTTCAAAAAAAGGGGCAAAGTTGATCAACGTAGAGCAAATATGACAAAATAGCCTAGTTTATGTTCTTACCTGTTGCATGAAGGAGACATTTCTACAGCAATGCAGGTGATGTTCTAGCCCAGTGTTTGCATAAGGGTAATAACGGAGGCAGTGTCTTAAAGCCTAATTCTTTTCTAATTCAGTGTAGCTATTACTGGGAGTTTTTGAAGTTTTGTTTAAGTAGTCTAATATTTTTATGTAAAGAGCATTAAATTTTGCTATGTATAAATTTTTGTAACCTAACAGTGAATCAATATTTTCTATCAGTGCCAAGGGCTTCCTGTAGTTACATCCAAGTGTTAAAATAAATATTTGTAGATAATAGACAACACTTGTGTATGCTTATTTGAAAACAGACTTACAGCTACTCTATACTGGTGCATCTCTATGCTCTACATCTCTGTCTTAAGTTAAACACATTTTGTTTAGTATTATCCGTTTGATAATGTACTGGGAAAGGATGCCCTGTAGGTGTATGTTTCAGTATGGGTAAGCCAGCTAAAGGTTTTTCTAGCTTTGTTTTGATAGTTGCTCCAGGCCAGCATAATACAACAAGCACTATTCATCCTATTCTTGACATCAAACAGAATGAGCCTCTCAGAAATCTTGTAAAATCCAAATTTGCTGCAACACTAAATTCAGCAGCTTGTAAAACTGGACTAGCCACCAAATCACTCTATCTTAATTTAAAAAAAGCAAGGTTTATTTCTGTCACATTTTTGGTACATAGCATTTCAATATCCAATGAATTCAAGATGGAGCTTCAGTTTTTGCCCCTAAATTCTGTCAAACTTGGCTTCATATTCTTGTACTTAGGTCAGGATGAGCAGCCTCAAATGCAGTGTGAGTTGTACTATATGCTGCCAACCGAAATTACTTCATTGATTGGAAATACTGTATTTTATATTGTAAATAAAGTTTAATGATCTTGCTTATAATCTACCTACAAAATACAAAGCTTAAATAAAGATGGGTTAAATAGCACTTTTATCTCTCCGTTTTGAACTGGTTCATACCAAAAAAGTGATGCTTGAGATAAGGCTGCTTTTAAAGTGTTTATTTATTTCCCTTACAATAGCAGTAAAGGGGGCAATTTAATTTGGTTCTGTCACACTCTGCTCTTAAAACTGCACTAGCCAAGGTTCTCCAAAAGGTACCTTTAAAAACAAGCGATATTTGAATGTTTTGTTACACTTAATGCTGTTACTTTGATCTACTATTTGTAACATATAATGGGGAAGGGGGGAAAATAACACTTCAAAAGCCATCAAAGTAAAGAAACTCAACGTCAACTCAGTCTACCTGAACATACAGATCTGTTGCTTTACACTGCTTTGTCCCACCTCTCGCCACACTCAAAGGACAGGGCTCCTTATGAATTAATAACGCATCTAGACTCATTATTTGAATTCAATGACTGATGTGATGAGACAGCTCAGTATCAACTTTATACATTTATAATTGTACAGCCTTCAATCCTTGTGTAGGCTGTAACATTTCATACAGCTTCATTTACAGCCCAAAAGTGGCTTTAAAAAAAAAAAAAAGGCAAGCTTTTACTGTAAGAAAATATCAGTAGCTGTTGTTCACCAGAAGTTTTCATCAGCCTCTCCGTGAGAAATGCCTGCAGCACTGTATTTGGGATAGGAAGAAAAAAAAAAAGTGATATGAATCCAAAGCACTTGCTTATCTTCAACATACATACTTGTTTTAAAGAGAAAGTTAAATTCCTATGCGATTTAAGTGACTTCATATAGTCACCAGTCCTATTTGATGTCCACACAGGATTACTGTCAATGTCCCAGTTCTACTTTTTCAGTAAACTGAAGTAAACAGCCCTTAAGAGTGAGGACTTAGGCCTGCATAAACAGAAGGCCATCTCATCTATCAAAAAGCAATACAATCTACTACTTCTACAGTACTCATCCAGTACTTCTGTTTTGTGGGAATTCTTTTCTCAGTCCAAGTTTCACAGAAACATGCTTCTTGTACTAGGATTTACATAATTTTCAGTGAAAAGAACACTATAAAGATATAATTCAGAAGCACCAGTATAGGGTCTGGTATATAAAATAGCCCTTCAAAAGGGTAGATAATACCAAAACATTGCTACTTCTGATTTGAGTATATAATTTTTTTCCTCTTCTCTATAATGTCTTGCTTATATCTATTTTCAATTCTAAATCTTCAACTGAAGTAAAAGATTTGACAGAGAAAAGTTTTTTTTTTCCTATCAAGCAACTGAAAACCATATATCCTCATTTATTGGTTTCTAAAGATAATCACAGGAAATGCCCTAGCTAAGGTAGCTTAGCACAGGTTGCTTAAATCTCTCTGAAAAAGTGTGTACACTAGTTGATTAAAAGTCTGTGATGCTACTAATAAATCAGAGCTAGATTCAATGTTAATAACAGATTATAAGTAATCTGCAGTGCTAACAAACTTTAGTTATTACCTAGGAAGAATCCCCTGTAGTTCAGTTCACTGTGAAGGAACCGAGGTGCTGCTCAGTTGCAGATTAAAAAGTTTTAATTACTACATCTGTTCAAACAAACCACTGAACGGAGTTCCTACATCCTAATTCCATACAGTGCATTACTTTTACCTGTATGAGAATTGGGAGGGTCCTCAATTTTTCAGCATATCTGCTTTTGACTACTAGTCAATTTATTTTGCTTTATAAAAGACAAGTGTCTCTGAACCATCATTCAAACTTAACTATTTATTAATAATAAGTAACAGATGTGATTAGTAATACACCAGCCTTACCTGTCATCTTTTTCACTAGACAGAAGTCCTTCGGTAAGTGATAATTCTTCCATTTCTTCTTTTTTTGAATCCTGGTAGCCAAGAGGAAAATACACTTTTTGTAACTGGTTCTTAAGTCTAGCTTTTATCAGTGACTCCAATTGCATGTGTATTTTAAGATAGCTTATTGAAAATAAAAATCCTGTGGAAGAACCAGCCTATTTGTAGGAATACAACATTGCATCAATAAAAATGAAGCGCTCAGACTTGAATAATGTCTGAACAAAAATGTGCTGCAATCCTTCAGCAAAATAGCATTCACCCATATTTGTTCGTGAAGGTAAAGTTTTCCATTTTGCCAGAATAAATTCAGTTATCAGTTAAAATCAGTTGTGTTAGGGGAACACAGACTGACCTGTGTAGACTCAGATAGATGTATTTTCATCAGGATCTCAAAATACTGTATTTGAATGCAGGCTACTAAAAATTGCAGGCAGTTAATATATTATCTTAGTAGCTAACGAAACATAGCATAGTTGGACAAAGCCTTATAAAAGAAAAGGTTTTCTATCTTTTTGTTTTGAATCAACACATTTCTGTAACACAAATCCAACCATTCATCTCAGGAGGTTGTTTAATTAATCTCCTCAATGAAGAATAAAAATGAAGAGAATATTGTTTTCATTCTAAACATACTTAGCAAGAAATTAATTAGGACGACAGATTTTTGGGGGAGCCCGGTTTTAAAATAATCACCTTGTTGGCCAGTTCCTGCTCTCTGCTCTGCTGAATTATTTTCATGTATTTTTCTAAAGGATTTGGAGAAGAATCCTTTATGTTATCTTCAGCACCAGAATTACAGTTTTCAAATGTTTCCTTATCTTCTTTTCCTTCATCTGTTTTCACTGAGTCTTGGATACACTTTAGGACAACACAAAATCAAAATTAAATATTGATGATCAGCTCAAGAAAAACACTTACATGTTGTACTACATACAGGACTTCATTCAGTAAATTCAGTAAAATATGCCAGTCTACTCTAAAGAGCATCAAACTTGTTATATTCAGTTAAAGATGAACCAAGTTATTGCTTAAACTCCTAACAGTGTCATTCAAGAAATCACACTCTAACCTGTCTGAATGGACTGCAATGCTGTCAGTACTTAAGTCCTGGCTTCCTCATATGGTTAAAGATCTGGGCTGAGGCAAACATTTACATGTGACTTGAAAAAGGATGAGCGGACATAGGCATGCGAGTGCCTCGAAGGGCTCAATTCACTAGCATGCAAATCTGACATGAGCATATCTGGTAAGCAGCACCAGGCTGAATCAAATTAGCCAAGGTTTAAGGGTGGGGAGAGGAGTAGGAAAGGGGAGGGAGCAACAACCAACTTTTAGAGGGGACCCAGAAGTCCAGAACACTATTTCAACATGTGCTACATGTTTCAACATGTGCTCAAGGGCGTTTAAACAAACAGGCAACAACAAAGCCTCCTTGTAACTTCTACTTCCAAAAAAAGTACCCTAAATATCCTGATACAAACTAATCAACAGGTTGACATATGCATTTTCTGGTGGTGCTGCATCAGCAGCAGTCCAGACCAGAAAGATGGCAAATTTGTAGCTTGTTGTGATAGTCTGGTGACAGCTGAGTTGTGTAAGTTCTGGCCATAAAACTGCAGTTTCCAGTTACACGAAACATTGAGTTTCTGATTATATGAAGTATGGAAGAAAAAGCATCTGCTTCCAGTGAAAAAGCTACTTGACATAAGAAATTTTAGCAAAACTCTTCAGTTAATCACACACATACATAAAAGAATTTACCTTCTACTACTTTCACCTAAAAAAAAAAAGAGTAAAACCTGTTTTTAACCAAGTAACACACATATCAATCCTAAAATATATGGCACTATAAAGCCACATTACTGCCAGAAATTAAAATACTAAATCACCGTCTCTTTGTTGAGGTTTTCTAGTTCCTTTTTCTCTCCTTCCAAAGCTTCATGTTGTTCTCTCTGTTTTCTTTCTTCTCTCTCTCTCCTTTCTTCTTCCAAACTTTTCTCATCTTTGCTTTTCTGCTGTTCAGTCTGTTTTTGATCCAGCACTACGGTGGAAAAATTATTTCACCACCCATGATTTGATTTACACTGCTCAGTAATCTACTAGAGTAGCAAACACTGAAACCCACTGTAGTAAGCATCTTGATAACAAAGTCAGTTTGTAATTAAGGTTGGGCAAAATCAAAGACATACAAGTAAGTAACAGGTTCCTGTATGGCATTAACAGGAAATGAAAAACAACTTGATATGTTGCTTATGTGTATGTATGTATATGTATGTGCATGCATGTTTGCATGCGTGTAGGTATGTGTATACACACACACCCATCCACTCCACTGTTATCTTTTATGTATTTGGTAACATTTCTTTCTACCTCTACACATTTCTGTCTTGATATATGCCTCCCTAAGAGTTACACAGTAGAGCTAAAGTAGAGGTCAGCAAGTGGAAAAATCTCTCAGCACATTACTCATTCCTATCACAGACTTTCTCTTTAAATCTGAAAACTCCTATCTACATGCACACAAGCCTCCATTGAAGTAAGCGTGGATTTAGGTGTTAAAAGATAATGTTATTGTCAGCTTACATGTATCTCTATTATCTTAAAATTCTTTCTGCTCTGTGGAATGTGGTTGGACATTATTTTTTATATTTATAAAGCACAAATACTTTAAAAGCCTTTGAAAATTATTGAAGGACATTCTGCTAATTTGACCAGTAGATTTAAAAAGCTATGCAAGTAGAACAGTATGCAGATATTAATTAGCTGGTCAAATAAAATACTGGGAATTATTAGAAGCTACAAAGCTCCTCTCTACGTAAAAATAACCATAATGCTATCCAAACCAACGAAAAAGTTGTATGAACTGCAGTGAAATCATCCTCATCTACCCAAAGAATTAAATCAGCATTGTGATAATACACTCTGCGAACTCTGATTCAAGAAAATCAAGAAAATGCAGATATGCAGCATGGACAATAACTTTTTAAACAATTTTAAGTCTTATTTCTATTAAGAGCAGAAATAATATTTAATAATTCTCCTAAGTAAGGAAAAAAAAAATCAAAATCTCTCTCCATAAGCTGGGGTGACAGGCTTAAAACGATTAAATTAAAAACAAATTTAACCAAAACAAGGGTGAAAAAGTTATCCTCATACAATAAAGCAGAAGAAAG